CTATATAACCCCTTTAAAGGGACCCGTAGTCTATCTACTTAAGGGGCACTACACACTTGGCCTCCTGGATCTGAGCCCAGAGGTCTTGCTTGGGAGGATCCATGATCGTGAAGCGAAAGTCTTGGATGGACATCCTGGGTTGCTATTAAGGAACTTAAATTAACTTACCATAATGGGTATATATAGTAAATAATAGGGTTTCCCCAATATAGTAACTTAATTTAAGTTCCTTAACAGCAACCCAGCATCTGGTCGTAGACATCTACCTGCGCTCCCTTCTCTAAGAGCCATTCCTCAGTGGTTTGGTCTGCTTGGGAAGAAAGGAGTAACCAATGATAGTCGTAGAGTGGTAAGAAGGAAGCGCCTCACTTCGGCTTATTGCTGTACATTTCTTTGCTACTTGCAGCACCACTTACTACTCCTCATGCGCCTCCAAGTATTGACAAAGGCTGCCCCAGAACCAAAAGCTGAAAGACTCCCAAGCTTCGACATCTTTGAACAGCCCGAAGTAAGCTGCATAGTGTAGCAGTACCTGTCAAAGGCTTCCGAGATCTTAAGGTGGGAGTGGGCTGGCAGGAGGACAGCCTTACAGGTGCTTGGTTGACTACTGGCGCCCCCTTCAGACGTTCAAGGAGTATATGGGAGTTTCTCAGAATTAGGGGTACGATTTTGGGGGTCCTTATAATAAGGATTATAATTTGTTGGGGTCTATATTGGGGTCCCCCTATTTAGGGAAACTACCATATGGGGCTTAAGGCTTAGGGATCTTCAAGCTGTTCTAAAACATGTCTGTGGGGTGCGGTTGGCATCCCTGCCTTTCCATCCACGTCGCGCATGGCAACCAATACGGCAGGCTCAATGCTGAAGTAGAGATAATACTTGCGAGCGATCTTCTTCGGTGACATCTGATGCCTGAACCAGGTGTAGCTGTCTACTTTCACTTACCCATAGCCCGTAACCGTAACCCTGAACCTTAAGCCTTAAACCCAAACACTGCACCCACCACCCTGAGCGCCGAACCCAGAACCCTAAGCCCTGAAACCCTACACCCTTAAACCCTTGAACCCTACACCCCTTCAACCTACACCCTTAGGCCCTTAAACCCTACACCCTTAAGCCCAAAACCCTTAAACTTTTTGGCCCCCTATGGGCAAGAGCCTCGAGGCTTTGCAGACATAGTCTTGAAACAACAGGAGCTTTGCCAGCTCTTGCTTCTTCGAGTCCGTGGCACCTCCAGCTGCACCCTTAAACCCTAAGCCTACAGCTTGGACGTATACATCCCTGTGTAAACCTATACAAGCCCTACATAAACTTAAAAATGCCCTACATACCTGCAAGCTAAGGTCTTCGTGCACCAAAATGGAGGATCCTGATTCTAGGGACTTTCCAAAAGGGGGAGCCCTAATCCATCAAAACCGCCAAGCTTTTGAGAAAAGAGCGCCTGCCGCTTTCGTCCCAGTCAGCAAGCTATTTTCAAGCTCGCTGTCGGCATCCTCTAGATTCTGAGCTTAGGGTTTTGAGGTTTGGGTTTAGAGGTTCGGTCAGGCTTTAGGGGCTGGAGTTTAGGGGGTTTACGATCTCTTTTTATGTGGTCTTGTTCCTCCTGCTAAGTCGGAAAGCCATACTAGCTTGGTTTTGCAGGCTGCCGGAGTATAACTTAGGGCGTGGGACACCGCATTCTGATGTATTTGACTGACTTTTTGAGCCGGCTTTAGGGCTTAGGGGCTCTGACAATTATAGGGATTTTTGGCTCCTTCTGAGGAGAGGCTAAACCCTAAACCCTAAACCCTCTTGGGATGACAAATCCTGTGCAAAATTGGAAGATGTGAAAACAGCACCCAAGGCCTTCTCAGCCCCATAAAGCCCCATCTAGTTGCTATGTAGCCCTGCAGAAACCTTTACCAACCCTAAACCCTTATGGTCCCCCTTTAAGTAGATAGAATATGGGATATATTTGGATCTTATTATAATATACCCAAAACCATATTCTATTTAAGGGGGATGATACATCCTCATTATAGTAGTTTCCATTTTCTTTTCCACTATTCCCCATATAATCCCCATATAATCCCAATATTACCCTAATATTATTACCCCAATATTAGGCTACTTAAGGGGGACTATAACCCTGGAGGACAGCTCCTCTAGGATGACTTCGCAGTCCGTGACGGCCGCGCAGTCCAGTGGCGTCCTCTTACCCTCTGCACAGAAGCCTGGGCTGCCGGGTTGAGGTCAAGGAACTTAGGCTGAGTCACTAGAACCCAGGTTTCTTTGTAACCAGTGCCAACTTAAGCTAAGTTCCTTGGTAGCAACCCGGTGCATGTTGGTCAAGGGTGTACGTCGGGCTTGGAGGTTGGCGGTTAGGTGCTGCAGGAATACTAGCAGCTACTAGCGGCAATAGCAGCAGCAACAGGCGTGGGCGTGTGCCAGTGGCAGTGGTGATGGTGGTGGTGCTGGGGGTGGTGCTGGTGGCGGCTGCTGTGGTGGCGGTGGTCGTGGTGTGGTGGGAGGAAATGGAGGTGAAAGTACACTGGTAGGCCGAGGTGGACAGGAACAGAAGGATAGAGAAGCAGTCGGAATAGCGACTACATGCGACTGCAGTCAACCCTGTAACCCCTCTTCCTTCTATCCTTTAGCAACACCGGCCAGAAGCTGTATAGGGCGCTGTGCGCTCTGAGGATCTTCGCCAAACGCAGATTCTTGAACTGACAGGAGAGGTGCCATAGTGTAAAGCCATTGCCTTACAGTTCTCACCAGAGCAAATAGGAGGAGTGGGAGACAGTACTAAGGACACACACACATGTACATCTATGTGTGTATATACACGAAATTCTATGGGACTTATGTAGAGCTTATTCAAGGATGTTATAGGGTTTCACATCCGCACAGACCCCTGAAGCACCAGCAAGTCATGGGTTGTAAGCAATAGCGGCCCTTCCTATAAGCCCATGTATGAAAACCTAGGCTCACGCAAGACTCTCCTCATAGGGGCTACATTCTGCACTCACTAAAGGGGGTTGTATACGGGATTATATAGGGGAGTACTCTAGGGCGAATTAAGGGGGATGCTAGGAGATTAGACTATATTTCATATAGAAGCCTAAATAATTACCAAAATCATGCTGAGGTCTGTGAGGTACCCGGTACCATAATTGTACAAGGAATCTAGGACTCTGGGACCATAATATTCAGAAATTTTATAGGCCCCCTATAGTATCATGTTTGACCTCACGCATAGGCGAACAGGATGCAACAAAAAAAGAGCAATCACGTGATCATATCTGCGACATGTACTAGCTCACCGTGCGGTTTCTGCTCTACGTTTTCATAGGAATTTCTGCAAGAACAGGTGTGAGGGTCGCAACATGCGGCCCCGCAAGAGACCCTGAGATAGGAAGGGGGTGGGGAGGGTAAGGGCATTCTGGGGCCCCCTTGTCGGGTGATTTCTTAATTATTTTGGAAAATTCCACGGCTGAGCCCTCTTGCCATACCCCTCACTTCCAGACAAACAAATATGTTAAGAGGTGCGCCTTTCTGGTGGAATGCCCCCACCCATTGGCAGTGACCATCTGGTTAGTGCATTTGGGTCCATACATGTTCCTCTCATACCACTTTTCAAGGGGGGGGGGAAAAGCGTGAAATGCCAAAGTCTGGATTCAAATGCGAATGGCCTTTTTAATGAAAGTCCCTCCGGCAGACCCCAAAGCATTATAATCTGGCTCTGTATGAGCTATGGTCTAAACTATAGGGGGACTATATAGGGGACTATTATGGGGGTTATTAAGGGGGATACTAGGAGTTCAGACTATAGCTCACATAGGCAATCCCAAAGAACGAACCCCAACTTTTGGAAACTCCCAAGATTGCCGTCCCCCCTTTCATCATCACAGGCCAGCTGCTTGGGCAACCCAATACACGCCGTCTAAAGCCCTAAACCCTAGAACCTCAAACACCTTAGGAGGACCCCCACCGTGTATTCGTAGTATAGTAGGAGCATAATAGACTATTACAGGGTGGCGTCCACCTAAACTATACCCCTCAACCCTCAACGCTTCGCCGCTAACGGAGCACACCCTGCTCCCGCCCATCTATCACTCTATGAGACCCTTAATCTTACCCTGGAGATCCTAGTATACAAGTAACACCTACATTGGATCCGGAAATCTGTAAACATTACCTACATGGGGCAATGTGGATCCCTAGGGTTACAAGGACTTCCAAAAGAAGACCCCTACGTTTTGGAAACACCCACGTACAGTCAAGCTACGTTTTGAATGATAATTCATGAACTCCAGGCGTTGCTTTGTTCGCATGGTTTGGCACCACTCCTGTCGGGGTCTGTGAGATGTGGTAGGGGCTGCTCAGGTAACCTAGGTAGGCATTTGCATGGCATATTGCTGCACACTGTTGTTCTTCATAACTTCAACTTGTTATAGGTAGGTAACCTGGTTCTATCGTGAATGCTGTTCCTACCTAATTGAATCCTAGCAGGCCCTAGCACTGCTGGAGTCGCCCAGGGCAAACCACAAAAGTCAATGCCCTAGGCAGGAGTAGTTTTTTGCGCTCATTTTCCAGATGCCGAAGGGTGTCCAAGCCTGTGACAGCCGGGCGAAAACTTGCTTTACTCAGGATGCATGCTCATAAAGGCTCTTTGAGCCCGGAAGGCCTCCAAAATCTCCTTCCCAACTCCCTCTGCATGAGGAGACTTGAGCAGGTTTAAAGCTTAGAGGTTTAAGTAGGTTTACATAACCGACTTAGTAAAGCCCTTATTATTTACCCCTGGTAGCCTGCATCCTCTACAAGTAATTCTGCCCTACGCCCTCGATACCCAAACCCTATACCCTAATAACCCTCAACCCTACAAACCCCTAAACTCCGCAAACCCCAGCTCCGTCCTTTCAAGGCTGGAACTATGGGCCCATTGTATGGGCCCTGAATCCTGGGGTCCTTAGATACCTAGAGGGTTTAGGGTTCAAAAAGGAGCTATAACCCTATCAGCCTAATCAAGGGCCCATAGTCCCTAAACCCTAAACCCTAAACCCTAAGCCCTAAGCCCATAGTTAGAAGGTTAAAGGTCCCAACCTTGAGTGGAAGATTGGGGAACAGCGTCACCCACTGCTCGTCGAACCCAACGCCCGTGTCATGGTCCTTCTGACCTCCGTGTCAACGGGGAATAGTGTCAAGCTCAAGATTTTACGGCTTTTTTAAGGTTTGTGATTTAGGGTTTAGGGTTGGGCTCATTTTTGTTGCAGCACCTCTTTTCGACCCCTGCATGACTGAACGAAGCCTCCGAACAGCAGGTTTTGGGGCTCAGAGTTTAAAGGGTTTAGGGTTGAAAGGGTTTAGGGTTGGGCCCCTAGGGGACCTTGGGCACTTTCCTGGGGACTACAAAGAGGCTGCAGCGGTCCCACGAAGGGATTGGGTTTAAGGGTTTAGGGTTCAAGGGCTTATAGGGTTAAGGGAAATGATTTTGACAAACCTCTAGATGCTCTAGATGAACTACAATCAATATGTAGCTAATGGATCTCGGGGCTTATGGAGAAATTCCCTGGATTCCCTGGGGGCTTATGCCCCATTTCTCCTAGTAGTCCCATGAAGAACTATAAATGTGGAGGGCTGCCTTTTGCACATACAAGGGTGGGTACCGGGGAAGGAAAGGATTGAACAGGGACTGCGCCGAGAATCTTACAATGCTCACATACCTGGCCCCGTTTCCGTTGCCGTTCCTTTACTTAGTAGCCTGCAGCTCTGGGAACAACGTGGGGGACACAAACAGGGACAACATGGACATGGAAGTAGCTGATTGAGAATTTCTCAACCTGACCTTTGTATAATCCTCCACATACAGCCCGACAATTGCCTCAGAATCCCCACATACTCCCCAGCGTTCCCAGGAGCCCCCTTT